GTACCTTCTTTGTCTAGACCCCTTTTGTAGTTGATTGCTCTCTAGTTTTGGAGGCTGAAAAATACTAAATGCATTCTATACCCTGGCCTGAGTTCTATTTTTACATCAATTTTCTGAGTAGAGAAAATTAGATGACCCTGGGAGGGGAAAAGGAGGGGAGGAGAGAAGTAAGCAATTCTCCATAGATTGTTCCATGGCTAATCCCTGAGAGAAGTGGAAGAACTTGTAGTTACATAAAATAAAAGGACAACATTTAAGCAATTAAGGTGGATGTCTGTAACCCTTCTTTTCCCTGTGCTCCTCCAGTTCAGCTTCTGTAGTGTGGAACTAGGACTGAGCTGTAGTATGGGAATACAGCTGCAAATGTATATTGACTGCAGAAGGGAGTCATGTTTACAAAAAGTACTCCTGTATTTTTTACAGAAGTCCAGTATTAAATTCACTGCAGTAGCTACAAGTTTTATCTAAAGCCTGATGTTTTGGAGTACTGATGCAGCACTGTGGGTAATGTGTTGTCTTTAAAATATGCCAGAGCTGCTGCTTCAGAGGCAGATTTCTGCAGCTTTCTTCCCTGTGCTGCGCACCGAAGCGCACTGGCATCAAGCTGCAGCTGAGACTTTAGGTTGTCCCCTTAATAGAGCCCAAAATAGCAGTCTTGCTCTGGTCTCATATCCTGCCCCATCTCTCTTGCCTCTTGTGGGTGTGTCTGGGGGAAGGGGGTGGTTTTCTAATTTAGATTGGTGTTCGGGCAACCCCTCCAGGAACTAGTTCCAGTTGTTAAAGGTTAGAAAGTGATTCCTTCCATTTTTATGGATTAGGATAGTGGCAGCTGTTGGGCTGCTGGCAACTACTGAAGCTGATGGAAGAGAAGCAGTCAGAGTGAGAGCATCTTTGAGGGCAGTGGAGGGTTAGCCAAGCTAAGCTGCCCTCTGACACCTTGAGCCTCAAGTCGTGTCCTCAGTATGGTGGATCCAAGAGAGGTGGCTCTTAAGGGGCCCCCTCGACTCCCCCACTCCTGAAGCTGAGGGAGAACACTTAACTAGAGAGATATTTTCTTCTCTACTCTTAAATATATTTCTGCAGCTTCTAATAGCATGTGAAAACAGGAGCCTGGGTTGCAGTGGTGGCCTGGGCTATCTTGAATGCAGGGCCCACCGTTTCCTAGTGTAGGCGGTCCCTAGCATGGGGCTTCGCAAGGGAGCAGAGAGCTGGAGAACTCAGAGTTTTTGAAAACTCGGGTTGCTTTTTCTTCCCCTGGTTAGCTGGTCTAACAGGGGGTGTTTTTTCTTTCTACCAGTCTTGCTTTGATAGGTGTGTCAGACTCTTACTTAACTGCTGCCCCAACAGCTTTTTAGCCTCCATGCAAAATCATCCTGTCCAAGGTGATGTTTTTAGCTAAATCGAATGACTAGATCTCGTGTGAGGCTTTCCCTTGGTGGGATGTGAGTTTTTGCTGGTTTCTTTTTCGTTTTATACCAGCTAAGAACCCCCTTTGGGACTTTGCAGTGAGAGAGCAGGGTGCCATGTTCTGCTTGGCCAAGGGAAGCAGTCATCCCTGCAAAAGGAGCTCTTCCTCTTCCACAGTGCCCATGGCCAGGGTAGTGCCCAGGTAGGAGCAGGCTATAAAAGCCCTCTGGCAGTTGTGTGCCAGGACTCCACGATTTTCCTCCAGGTCCTTTGCATCCAGGAGACAGATGGGGTATCTTCTAATTAACCAGGCAAGAATAATGGAGCGGCTTTGATTACAGCAGTAAAAAACAGCATGGTGAAGAAGATGCCTGCATGTAGCTCTGTATTTTGCTCAGGGCAATAATTAAATTTTTAAGTAAGTACTAGAACAAAATGATTTCTGGTCCCACCTTTACCAATTTCTCATACAGCCATTCTTCAAGATCTTGAATTCGATCTCTGTCTCAGCCAAATTGGCACCGTTTTGGGAACCACAAATTTACTGAAATATAATCTAGCTGTCATTGCATTAAATAGGAGAACAAAAAACATATCTTCAAAGGGAAGGAAGGATTTTCTTTCTTCTTTTCAGTTTATTTTCTGAAGCTGATTGAAAAAACATGCAGCTATGAATCTCCTGTAGAGAAAAGTGCAAAACACAAATGCCATATTGATTTTTCGGCATGTATAGAATGACCTAAAAATTAATAAATCAGTGGAGACATTGACACTTTGAATACATACACTGTAGAGCCATTTAATTGTTACCTTTTAAAGTGTTGAAAATGACAGGTGCTATTAATTCATCATGTGGAATATCTGTTTCACAGACTTCAGCTTGAAATGCTTGGATCTAGAGTTATTCCAAGCCCTCCAAGCCTGCATGTTCAAACTTATTTGCATGCTGGGAACATAGGTCACCTGTCTAAGCCTGAAATAGGTATTTGCAAATAAATATGACCTTGAACCCTTAAGGTTAGGATTGTTATTCTTCAAACAAGCAGGTTTCCTCAACCTAAGCAAAATAAAAACCTCAAAATGTTATAAAATCTATAGTGATCTGTTTTCTCTACAGGAAACTTAATTGCAGAGATGTCTGCCAGTAAAACACTTGTTTTGTCTAGTGTTGTGTGGCGATTTCTTTTTTAATATTAAAAACAAAAAAGAGCCAAAGTAAGACTCTGTGCTGGCTGGGAAGGGAAAGATACTGCTTTTATTGTTTTTATTTTAAGTTTGCGTGTATCTCTTCAAATAATTACGATAGTTTGAAATATTATCAAATTACCCAGTTCTTTTGTTTTCACATTGTTCTTGCAGAGCTCGTGCATTTCAAAAGAAGCTACTCTGGAAACTTGTTCAGTGTTTCCTGTTTTCTCTCAGTTTTTTTTAACCACTTCCTTCAAACTGATAAACATCAACTGGGTTTGGTGTCACAAGTTAAATATAATTCTGGTTATGACTGAGTGAGGCAGCCCTAAAACAAAGCCTGACAGAAAAATAGTACAGTATTAAAAACAGCAGCCTGACCTTTCTGGAAATGCTTATGGTGATTTTTTTTTTAAATAAACACCTGTAGATTTAATATTATTATATGTATATATTTACCTGAAATGCTGGATGGCTAAATGTAGGAATATGTTGTCCTCATACACATGCAGGCATCCAAGTGAGGATGTAAGGAGGGCCTTGCCATAATACAATTCTGGAGGGCCTGTAAAGGTGACCCCGCAATGACCTCTGGCTCGCAACATAAGTTCTGCACCAAAATAAGAAGAGAACATGTTCAAGTCATCTGGTGATTTTCTATTTTAAGTTTCATGCAGATTAAATTTATTTAGGTACACTGTCTCACTGCAGTCCTGCTCCTAGTTATCATTATATTTTTAAGTCTGCTCAAGTGACTAAACTGGATCCTTGAACCTCCCACCTGAATTGCTGTAGTAGCCATAGGGGTGGGCGCAGTGAAGATGAAAATCCCTCTCTGGAGCCACTGCTGCTAGAGAAATAGGGCGGGAATAAAAGCTTTGCAATCGTTCTTGCGCACTGTTATTTCTTGGCTCCATAAGAATAAGTCTGTTCGGGCACCAACTGAACAAAATACACATTTTTTCAGAGAAAATATAATATATATTTTTGCCTAGAATAAGTGAGAATGAGATAAAATGGGATTGTTGGTGCCCTGGTATGCATGCTCTAATGAAATACAGCAGCAGTTCAGTGCATGATTTGCACTACACTATGATCAAGTTTGTCTATTTTTCATTGAAAACAGTATTGAAAACAGTAGGTTTTCATTTCACTGTTAGCAGCTCTTCTCATCTGCAAGGATTTGTGGGTATGGAGTGAAAAATAGAGCAAGTAATCAAAGAATGGGCTCGAAGTGGCAAAGGTGGTAATTGTTCTAGGGCTGGATGTGTGTAATTTACAGTAGTGAATAAAACTGCAGCCATGCTTCAGCTTGACCCAGGCCAAGCGCTGCACGTGGGCCGCGGAGCGCCAGCCCTGCTGCAGCCCCGGGCCAGCGCTCCTGCTCGGGCGAGAAGCGCCCGCCGGCACCTTCTGCTTCTCTTGGCTCCTGCTGCTCGCAGACCTGCGGCACGCGGGGGCGAGAAACTGCAGGGGATCTCCACCGCGTGGAGGCTTAAGCTGAGGAACGTGTCCGCTGATCTAGGTCTATACGTTTTTTGTTCTAAAGGCAGCACTACATCTTTCTCAACATTTAAGTTCTCGGTATCAAATGGAGTCAAACTTGACATATTTTCTTCTAGCTAACTTTTTAATAAAGGCTTGAACTGTTCTTACAATGTGTAGCAACTAACGTAAATGCTTCACAACCTTTTTGTTTCTCTTCCATCTTTTGAAAGGAAAAGGAAGCAGGGAAGCTGTTGAAATGCTTTATACAAACAGGAATTAGAAGAAACAAGAGGAGTCCTAAAATCTACTGGAAGCCACAGTTAATTTTGTTAAAGGCTTGACGGATTAAAAAAAAAGCACTATTAAATATATTTGTTCATTACTGTATAAGAAGGTAGTTTTACATAAGTGGTTTTTTTTTCTTCAAGCCTGAAGGGAGACAATTTCATGAAAATAAGTGATTTTTTTTTTTTTTAAGAATTTTGTGCTTCATAAAGGAACATGTCAATAGTGAGAACAGTTTGCTCTTGTCCTTCAGAAAGGAAGAGGCTTTGAATGCAGTTTTTCTTTAATAACCGCTGCCTGCCTGTGAGGAAAGGGATGTGGAACAACCACCTCATCCTTCAGCTTTGGCTAACACCTTGCTCTCAAAGATGTTTTGCATCTCAAATAGTTACACATCCTTCTTTCCGTGTAGTCTGCAGTAATGTCTTTTGATCTCTTTTCCCCTTTAAAATTATAAAAACTGTTAAATAATAATACTGCTATGTTTTGTATTTCTGTGGATTTGCAAATCCAGAAATAATTATGATCAACTAAGTAAGTCCAACTTGCATCTCAATAGTATTTTTCAGTTTTGATGATATTTTATGTAAGGCTAATTAACAATTTTTAAAACATGCCCTGTTTATTTACAGATATTTGGAGTCTGGGAGTCATCCTTTTTATGTTGGTGTGCGGACAGCCACCGTTTCAAGAAGCAAATGACAGTGAAACTCTGACCATGATAATGGACTGCAAATACACGGTTCCACCTCATGTGTCCAAAGAATGTAAAGAGTAAGTAGAGTTCGGAGGGGTTTGGAAGCATTTGTGGAGGTGGATTCTCCTCAGATGTGAGAGCTCTCCTCTCAGCATGTACAGTGGTCCTTACCTGTTCACAGCACTTCATCTACTGCTTTTGCTTAGTTGTCAGTATTTCTTGCCACCAGATTTCTTGGGTACTGTTACTACATTGTCCTTATGGTCTCTCTTTTCTTACTAAAGCTTAATTCCATGTCGTTTTTGGCATTAGGTTTTCTGTATGTACTTCTGTGAAACTTTATTCTGATTTTACACAATGTATCCTTCTTTTATCTGCATCAGTTGTCATTTATTTTATAAAAGACTGGAGAAGCTGTTCACCGCTGACTGGCTTTGGCCAGCACTCTCACTGCAGGTGTCGTTGAAGTGATTTTGTAGCAAGGGTTAGAGACTGATTCTTCTCAATTTCTGCTCAAAACTCAAGAATAAAGCAAAAAGTTTTTGCTCATCACTTACAAAAAAACCTGCAACACTGTATCAGCATCCTGGGCCTTCAAGAGAAAAATAATCTCCCTGCAAATGCCATATGCCACTTGGGAATTATGACTCACTTTGGTATGTTTTTTCCTGCAGTGTTCACTGCAGCTTTTTCATTTTTTTGATACATGCCAATGTTTGTCATATGATGGAGACAGATTAATGAATGAAGCCTTTATTTAAAGGGTTGTCCCTTCAAATACATATCCAAATTGTGTTACTTAGACTATTCTACCATGTTCAGCCACATCCCTGAGTCAGTGATGGAGAATCTTGTCATTTGTCAATGTGAAACACCAGGTAGGTGTACAGAGGCTAGAAAATGCTTCTCTCTAGGATTCTGTTATTTGAAAAGCTGTTATTAATGCTCTCAACAGCTTGAATTGCGGGAAGAGGTTTAAAAGAAAGGTCTTCTTCGTGAATTGTATCAGAATAAAGCTCTTCAGATGCTACAGACTGTGCTGGGGCAAGAAATTCCTATTTTTCACATCCTATCAGTTAATATGCTGGCTAGCACTAATTTGTTTAAAGGTCAGAATGGTCTAATTTGCTCTCTCTGTGTGCCACACTGCCAATGTGTGTGATCAGCTACTGAAGTTCTCTCTGTAGACAAGATATATAGTTTGTTCCATTTCCATCAAAATTTTATTAAAAGTAAAGAAAAACAATGCTCAAGAATTTCACAAAGCCTCTTCTTTTGCAAAAGGCAGAAACTAGAAGGATTCAGTGTACCCATGGCATCCTTTTTTAAAATCGATTCGGAAGAGTCTGCACTGACTTCCTTTTTCCCTTCCATAAATCTTCTCATATAGGAAAAAAATTCCAAATCTTCATGTTACCTTCACCCAATATCAACCCATAAGTAAGTTTGTTGGAGAGACCTTCTGCTCCCACCCCACAGGTATAGCAGGTTATTGTCCTTTAAGGGATAGCTGTTTCATAATAAAATATTTTTACTATTTCTGCCATTGTATATTCTTGTTACAACAGCAATAATGCAAAATCATTTTTCTATTATTGTGCAGACCAGCCTCCAGGCCATCTGTGACAGTTGCCATATAATCTTATAGGAAAAAAAGACAAACCCACAGACAACAGGCATCTAGCAGATTAAATGAAAATTATAGTGCTTGTGATATTTACTGTTTTAGTGCATAAATTAGGTTTGTTTCCATTCTGCATTGTCATTTGGGGTGTATTTGAGAATAGATAATTTTACAGTAATGTTGTTTACATCGCCTTTACTGCAGGGACTTGTAAAGATCTATATGATTCAACAGAAAGAAGAAAATTCTTCCTACGGTTGCTCTTGCAGTGGCTGTTTTTAAACATGCAAGTGCATTTTGTTTTTTTTTTTTTTATTTATTTACAGCCTGATTACCCGGATGTTGCAGAGAGACCCAAAGCGAAGGGCATCTTTGGAAGAGATTGAAAACCACGCGTGGCTCCAAGGAGTTGACCCGTCTCCTGCGACCAAGTACAACATTCCTCTTGTGTCATACAAAAACCTGTCAGAGGAGGAACACAACAGCATAATACAGCGCATGGTGCTTGGCGATATAGCGGACCGAGATACCATAGTGGAGTGAGTTACCACTTCTACCTGTGCAGTTTGCTTTGTGCATCTACAATATTTATCCTGAACATGTGGCTGTTGCCATGTTTAAATGCCAAATCCATTCCATTAACAAAATATTACAGTTTTGCTTGGTGATGGGAAGAAATACTTAAGTGTTACGTATTAAGACAGCTTAAGAACATACAACCTTGGAGAAAAAAACTTCAAAACAGTTTTGAAACAATGTATGTTTCATGTAGTAACTTGCTGTATTAAACAATTCTAATGGCTTTTAAACCCATGTTTTTACTTATGCTGTGCATCTCTTCAAGAGTTGTCTGGTGTCATGTAAATTTAGGGATGGTAAATTCTTAGTTTTTCCCTTAGTACCTTTACCATATACCTGAATCTTTGTAAATTTAAAATATTATTCCTTTTATGTATATAATACAAAGTAGGCGTTGTCACTGAGTGAACATGTTAGAAAGTTACAGCTTTTCCTAAAAGACTAAAAAAATCCTAAATCTCTAAAATAGTCTTCAAATTGAAAGAGGACAAACATGCTAAGAAGAAGCAATTTTAATGTGGAAGAAAACCAATACTTTTCCATTTAAAAGAAAAAAAAAGCAAAAGTGTAGCTTTTTAGGCTTCTAGTTTTGTAGCAGGTGTATGTTCTTTTCTGTTAGAATATTTGAATGATGTGTAGTGACTTGCAAACTTAACTTTATCATAAACTTAATGTGACAGGCCTAAAATCGAGTAGTTTTTTCTTCTAGCTTTTTCATAAGCAAATACCAGTACTTCATGGGTTTATGTGGAGTTGGGAAGGCCTATTATTGTTGCATAACACTAATGAAAAAGGATGCTATCATTTTTCAATACATTTTCAGAAAAAATATTTAATTTCAAATGACATCCTAAAGATATCCTCACCTAACTATACTGAACTTGCTAGACTCATTGGCTGTCATTTTAATAGGGCCAAAAAACACTTGTCAAAACATGAGTGACGCACGTTTCTGTTTCAGGTGCTTCTCCTGCTATGAGAAATACAACGAGTTGTGTAAACTGCACGTCCAGTTTTAGAAAGCTGTAGATTTATGGCCTGTTTCGTGTTTCTGTGCTTTCGTAGGGCTTTGGAAACGAACAAATACAATCACATCACCGCTACTTACTTCTTACTGGCTGAAAGGATCCTGAGAGAAAAACAAGAGAAAGAAATTCAGACCAGATCTGCAAGCCCCAGCAACATCAAAGCCCAGTTCAGGTGAGAATTTAAGATGTTCTCTTTTGTTTTTAACCTGGTTCAATGAGATGATTATTGAATGTCTAAAGTACTGCCTTTCTTACAGAGTTAAATGATTATTCATTATTGAAGTGTCTTGGCAGTGCTGTGGCCCTTTCAAGGAACTGTTCAGAAATTGGTTACCAATAGTATTCTAAGTTTCTACTGACTAAATAAATTTGAAGTCCATGCCTGAAGTTGTATGTTTTCACACCTGGTAGGAAAGGGAATGTTCATTGACCTTCAGTTCCTCTTTAAAATTGCAGATGTGGCAAAAATTAGTTTCATGACTCCCTAAATGCATCAGTGGGGAATTAGTCATGTCTGAGAAATGAGGCACTGACTTTTATGTTAAGGTTTAGTTGCTAGCTTTGATTTTAATATGCTTAAACATTCCCTAAATCAAGCTTGGAGCAAGCATCTTTAAGCTATGGGTGTTTTTTTTTTCTTTTTCCTTTCAATATAGGTTAATACATCTGTTCTCTAAGGGAGACTGTTCAAATAATGGCTTTGTTTCATTTACTTTGAGCTGTCTTCTGGTAATTAAAAGCACGTTGCAAAAGGATTTTCAGCTGAAGTCAGATCATTAGTTTGATAAAAACATTATTAAAATGCCCTATAGTACAGTTCCCAGGAAGGTATGAAGCTTTCACGTGTTGCAAATGATAAACCGAAGGGAGTGGGGGATTCTGGTAGGCAGCTGCTGTTGATACGTTCCCCCAGTCTGCTTTTTGTGCAGCCAGGGAGCAAAGCAACAGCATATGCTTAAAAACAAAAACTGGAAGCTGAAGGGTTTCTACCTGCACCTTGGTTTTGGAGGAGAAATTTTGAAGAATTAGCTTATTTATTTATTAGTTCTTTTTTTAATTTGCTGACTTAGTGTTGACCAGTTTTGTGAGTGGGGATCTGGTAGTGACCTCCAGTGTCTCAAAGAACTTCCCTTTTAAGCTTTGATACCAACACCCCTGGTATTTTAATGAGATGGTGGGAGTCTCAGGTGGCCGTGCTGCTGTTCAGAGTGCAGCTTTGTTAGCTCTTCTGTAGAGTCTAGCAGGAACAGTGCTTTCATCCCAAAGATTTTTGGGTATCTTTCATGCAGGATCATATGTGGAGTCACTTAGCAGGAGTATAGGTGGGACACAGTGTTGTGGTAACCCCAGGAATATGCCCTGGGATGTGTGGCCAGGCTGCCCTCAGGAAGCGATAGGAACTACACACTTGGCTGTGACAGCCCCAGGCTTGGGTTTTGCTGACAAAGCTGCCCTGTGGTTAAAGCACTGTCAACTGTCGAAATGTTTAGATCTTCATTTCTGTCACGTTCCCAGTTACGTTTCTAATTTAAGGCCTATTTGTTATCCGCTGGCGGTTGTTTGGTTTGAAATAGTGAGTTCAGCAGCAGTCATCACAAAACCAGACGAGTGGTTCCCGCGTGGCTGGAGTCAGCCTGAGGGAGGCAGCGAGTGCGAGGGGAGCGCAGGGCTGCCCCGCTGCTGTGACAGCTCCTCCTTCAGTCTCCTTGGGGGTCTCATCACGGGCAGGAAGCTTCTGTTAAACATCATTCTGGCTTTGGAAGAATTTTCTTGTTCTGTACGTGAGCTACAGACGTAGTGCTGAGTGAAGCAGCACTTTTAATTTGAGGTCAATGCTTACTACACAGTTATACATGTTAACTTTTCTCTTTTGGTTAAAATAACTCTTTAAGCATCATGGTCTTAAGCAGTTTGAGTGCTGGCTTCACATGCCTGTGTTGCAGTCAGTCACACGTATGTATGCTCTCAACTCAGGTGCCTTAAATTAAAGGTGATTTTCTCAAACTGCATTTAGTCTGAAAGAGGCCTACTGAAAAATAGACAATGTTTCTTCAGTCTTATTGTGTTAATTCTAATATGATTTTTTTTGAATTAGAGAATATTGGAAAAAAATAGCTTGCAATACTATTTATTTAGATTGTACTTGAATCATTTGCATGCCTCATATCTTCTGTAAACATTGGCTCTAGGTCTCCTTCAGGCATTTTGTGAGATGCAGAAAGCTACTTAAAGATTTTTATTGCTTAATTAGTTTTCTGAGAGCAGTGAAAGGGATTTTTAAATTATTTTTTGATTTCAGCAGCCAACCGAACTTAAGCCATGTTTCTGTATATAAAACATGCCCTTCAAGTACCAGCTTTTCTTTGAAAATGAGTCTTTCTACCCATTTACCAAGCGCTGCAATTTGCAGATAGGCCACTCCACAGGCCAGTCTGTGGTAACAGTTTATTTTTGTGGCATGCAGGTCTCTTTTTTAGATTTTCTTAAATGCTCACCGTGATCCAGCTTTTCTTTTGTCCCTTATACTCGTGTTTTCTAGGCAGTCGTGGCCAACAAAGATTGATGTACCCCAAGATCTGGAGGATGACCTGACTGCTTCTCCCCTCTCCCATGCAACCGTTCCCCAGTCTCCAGCTCGCACAGCCGAGAACGTCCTCAACGGCCACAGGAACAAGGCCCTCGGAGATCCGGCAAAGAAGGAGGATATCCCGGAGCTAGCCGGGCCCGCGCTGTCCGTAGTTCCACCGGTGAGCTTAAAACCCACGACAAGTGGCCGAAAGTGCTTGTTCAGGGTTGAGGAAGATGAGGAGGAGGATGAGGAGGACAAGAAGCCTATTTCTCTTTCTACTCAAGTCGTTCTGCGCCGTAAGCCTTCAGTTACGAACCGCCTGACGTCGAGAAAGAGCGCGCCGGTCCTCAACCAGATCTTCGAAGAGGGGGAGTCGGATGACGAGTTTGACATGGATGAGAACCTGCCCCCGAAGCTCAGCCGCTTAAAGATGAACATTGTTT